ACAAATACAAGTACATTACTGTATGCTGCTGATCCATTCTTACAGCTTTGAATTTGCACATCTAAAAGCTTTATTTTCTCTGGGTACTTGAATATCCCTCAAATGAAAAAAAGCAAATGACCTTATTTATAATACGGAAAAACTTCTTACGTATGATATCTTAAACGAAGGTTGAAGCATGCCACTCCAAATTACAGACAACATGCCTCGCTTGGCACAATAATGTATTTAACCAGAATAGAGATGTAATGATAAAAGCAAATATTTTATAGCACTTAAACTGCATCCATTATTAAGTGCACATTTTTCCCAAACCATTTTAGTGAAGCCCTCGTGCAAGCGAATGCAAATTCCTTAAAGGCCTCATCATTTGCTCAGTGGGGGTAAACAAAGCATCACACTTAAAATGTTGGGATCCATCCTCCACCCCCAACTGATCACCGAGAGACTCCAAAAAGCATCCTCATATAACAATTGTCATAACTCAAATTGATGCAGCACAATAGGGAACAGAAATCAACACACACATCTCTAAAAGGCCACAAGTATGGATTACACGATACTTGCGCGTGGAGCTCGGGCGTGATTGATCGCGGGACACTTCAAAATGCACACATCGAGCCTAACCATGAACATATTTCTCATCTTGCAAAAGCATGACTTCGTGGAAGTCAAATGCCTCTGCCATCTCATCTTGCTCGAATAAGCATGAGACACCAACATACACAATCGTGGCTGTTATTTCATACAATATGAGATATCTATATACAGTCTTGAAAATGTTTTTCTTGATTGCTGCATGACGGGGAAGGCCCCACGCTCAAAGTCGAAAGTCCAGTGTTGTGAGAAGCTCTGCTTTATATTGAACATGTGGAGCACCCCCCCCCCCCCTCACTATCTTAACGTATTATTTTATTATTTGTAGGCTAAGGTGGCTCGCCCACGCTGTACCCGTCGTGTTTTTAAATGTGGTGGATAAGAAGACTCCTGTGGATAACACCAATGGTGTAGAAAAACTCCCATCGTCTCCACAGTAGGCTTCAGTTGTTGGATTGTATTTACTTGATAGATGCAATGCACTAACATATCAGACAGTGCAGCGTATAAACATTTTACTTCACGGCAATGTAACAAAAATAAAGAATAGAAATGGTCACTAATGGCATATTTGTAATATGAATGACGTTTCGATCACAACACAAGCGATCGTCTCCTCCTGATGAGGATCGCTTGTGTTGTGATCGAAACGTCGTATTTTTTTGTAATTTTCTTTCAACCTATCTACGTGACTTTACCGAAAGACCCAAAGAATAGGCTCATGAAATGTATCTGCTTCTGCTTCACCACAAATGACCAAATATTGACAAATGTGGTCTCACTGGAGTCAGAATGATAATTGGAAGGTTGAATAAAATTGATTAGCTGACCTTCAACCTTTGGTGCGTGTTTTTAACAGGATGCCTATACTGTAGGTAGTTATCTCCAAATATTAAGACAAAGCCCTCTTTGTGTCCCTTAACATCGCAATTTTGAGCCAATCAACATATTAGTTTTCTTCAAAGCACACTTCTCCATTCCCAAAATGTGATCGAGAGTCCTTTACTAATAGAGCATTAATATGCGCTCGAAATTCAAGTCCAATTTTGTTGACGACTGTATATATCCACACAGCATTTAACTAGGCTGTGTCCTTTGTTTACTCTTGTAAGAGGAACATTGATATTCATACAATTTTGGTATGGGGCATAAGGTAACCTACAATTATATCAGATGAAAGTATCACCCTGCTTCATTGAGCAATTGGATGCTGCTTATTTCTGTTGACGAGCCTCACGTGATGGTGAGAATTCCACATCCCCAAGGCTTCAATAAACCGAACTTAGCAGCATGGTCAAGTATAGCCAATCAACCCACATGACCAGCATCATGTGGGAAAGCCTTTATCCAGAAGTGGTGACAAAGGGTTGTAAATGCAATATTATATTATATAAGGTGGAGACCACACTTTCTAAAGAGTTATAACTGTTCTCTTAATTGTTTTCCAGAAAAATTATAAAGTAGGTATCCCAATCACGATTTGAACTTTCAACCTGTTAATTTTGAGCCGAGTGTTCTAATACCAGTGACACTCAGTTTGTCTTGCTAGTGTAATGCGTCCAGCAGACGAAGATTTCGACAACACAACTCTTCTTTCCTAGCCTTTTTCCCACCCAAGGACGGGTGTATTGCAATCAATCTGAAACTTGCAAGCGAAAAGCAGACCGCGACGTGATATTCATTGCATTAATGTGTGTGCAATTTATAAGGGCGCGGTGACACAGACCTATTTCATTTTAAGGTTATAATCCCTTGTTCATCATGACGTCCTTTTTACTTTTATGTCTCAATAGCGTTACGGAGATTGCGTGACATTGGGTTCTGTCTTTGTAGTGAGGGTTGTAAGTTGACGCTGAGGAGGGGGGAGGAGGCACCCTCGGGCCCCCATGTGGAGTGACGTCAGCCGCTAATTATTATGAATAGGGCGGGAGGTGTCCATTTGGAGGACGTCACCTTATGATTATTAATGAGGGGGGCTGTTCAATGTGGAGTGACGCGACCTGCTCATAATTATTAATGAGCGGGGTAGGGTGCTCCACGTGGTGAGACCTCACCGAATCATGATTATTAATGAGGGGGGGTCCATGTGGAGGACGTCACCTGCTCATGATTATTAATGAGGAGGGCTGGTCGATGTGGAGTGACGTTACGAGCGTTATGGACAGACATTCATGGGTGATTATAGTAGGTATTTTCTGCACGAGCTCATGCCACATGCGACCACTCCACTCCGAATCCCACCAGGAAGCGCCCCGATCACCCAGCCTCATCCCGTGATGTCACCACACTCTCTCCTCCTGGGCGTTCCCTCTCTCTCACACTCCGCCTTCTCTTTCCTTTCCTTGATGACGTCATCTCAAGTGTAACCTGGGATCCCGTGGGTATTTCTACCCATCGATCATGTAAGCATTAGCACTACACTAGTGCTGTCCCTGACTAACATATAAATTACATGCACTAAATGTCTGAGGCTAATTCACAATAATTAGCAAATTAACTCACTCCTCAAAAAACTATTGATATTCATAATCAGACTTAAAGCTTTCGTGACTGCAGGAATTCATACTCTTTGGGTCTTTCGGTAAAGTCACGTAGATAAAAAAATATACAGCGGGTGGACTGCCTGCTGTATATTTTTTTTACCAAAAGACCCAAAGAGTATTCAAAATAAAATAAAAATGTATGTACAGTAGGTACTTTTCAAAGTTGGAGTTTAGGCTATCAGACTAGTAGATAAAAACCTGCTCTTGTGAAATAAAAATATAAACATAAAATGTGGCGTAGTCACAATTTATCAAAAGCAGTATCCATAGGTGGTGTGGAAGGGAGGAGGTGTTGCAGCAAGTGCTTCAGTCATGCAGATTGCTGGCCAAGATTCAGGGGACAGCTGACAAAGGGAAATCTGTTGTAATCCATAATCCGCTCGGAGGCTTTGTGTGCAAAAGTTTGGATTTAAATGAGAGACCACCCAGGAAGCAGACATTCTTATCAGTGAGATGAAAGTCGTCTCCTTGGGCTGTTTGGGACACCCAGTTGACTGAGGACAGCTAGTCGTTCCAAATGTTAACAAGCTTGATAAATGAGCCAATCCACTGGCCTTCTTCCTTATGGGACACTTCAAGCTATCAACTATATACACTAGGATTATCATGTCCCGATCTAATTTGCTGAAAATTTTAAGATAACATTTCTTTAAAAACTGCTTTCTCCGGAAACGCTTCCCTTTACAGAAGTTACACAATACACTCACCCTACCATAGATTAATCCACCAAATGCACTGCCAAATGTAGAGGTAATGAATGCAGAGCATAATCATTGAAAGGCTAAAGAGTCCACTTGCTCAAAAGAGCAATGGGGGTGGCACTCTTCTGTGTTGGTGGCTTTGAGCGAGTGAAGTATATTCCACATTCATATGATGGGGCAAGTAGTCTCTCCATAGAACCTGTGTTAAATTGTCATGAAGTGTTGCTAAATATATCAACCCCAGGATGATAAAAGACTAAGTCAACCCCTGACGGGGGTTTTAACCCACAACCTACAAATTGTGAGTCGGTCGCTCTGATAGTCACCCAATTTGTTTTAATCCGTAAAAATAAACCTAAATACTGCAGCAGGAGAACTGTTCATCACTGTTCATACGCTGATGCATGGTAGGACGTGGCACTTTGCAGCCAATCTAATTGCATCTGTCTACCTGGTGGTAGAACTCCATGCTAATCATGTATAAAATATTGAGATGCACTTGTCAGCACTAGGTGTAATAAAAACAATATATGTTTGTGCACTAGCAACTGTAGAGCTATGTACATGCAATATACGTCAATCTAAAGCTACATTCTTGCTATATAACATACTTCTAGAGCTATTTTAGATTTATATTACAAATAAGTAAACAAAATACAATACAGTTTTCAAACCTATTTTTAAAAAATCTATCCAGCCTTCCACATCCAGTGAGAAACCTCAAGCCTTCCCTATCCGCTTTACCGTGGAAATGCAGTGCTGATTCTTTAAGTATTGTTGAATTCTAAATATTACATTGTAAATATTTAGTTGACTGTCATTAAATGTCAATGAAATCTGTTAAAGTGTGACTGTCATTTAAATGTAGCATTGCTGTATGAATTAAATGTTTTCAGGATGTCAGACAGAGACCGAAACAGGAAAGGCTATTCCCAAAACGATTTCAGCTTCGTGATGTTTTACTGCACTGCCAAGAACGTGAACATTTCATAAGGCTTCCTTTATGTGTTTGTGATATTTCCTGCAGACTTATTTTTCTACTAGTTTTGCATTGGCCTGTAGCAACAGGACTGAGGCCCACAATCATGCATAGCACAAGCACTTGGCCATGCACAGTCTTCAATTAATGAAGGGTAATGAACTGGTTCATACAACTTACCACTTATCCAATGTACTTCTGTTTCCACGGGTTGGAAGTTCTTATTGAAAAGGTCTTCCAATGACACCTTTGCCTTCAAAGCCAAACTCAAGTCTTCATCTGTAGAAAGAAACACACACAAACACCTCGATTAGCACGATTGGCTACATACGGTGCGAAATAAGTCCAATATACAAACATATCCATAATAGAGTTTTTTTGGGTTAGATCGCGTAAATATATAAAAATGCGTCGTGAAAACCCGCCATACATATGTAATGAGAGAACACACTGACATACGGAGGGCTGCATAGGCATTGCTGCATCAGTAATAGCCAATCAGGGCTACGGGTTCAATCTGGGCCAAAGTTCATGGGTGGAGCTCATGGGTACATGCGGGAACCATCGAGAAGGTTCTGAAGGGGGCGTGGTTAGAGGCGTGGTTAGAGGCGGGGCTTTGCTCCGCCAAGGAGGATATAAGGAGAGGCAAGAGGAGGACTCGGGGTTCTGTGTGGAAGCCTGGGTCCAGACTGCATCTCTGCCATCTCGTCAGCCACTGACCACGTGGCAGCCTCGAGCGAAGCTCTCCCGATTCCCGGCGTGCCGTTGACCAGCGGTGTGCGGGGAAGTGAGAGCGAGGGAAGCCGCGCAGGCAAGAGAAAGAGAGGGTGACCATCTAAAGAGAGTGCTGAGCCGAGCAGTCATAACTAATAAAAAAAGGACGCAAGTCTCAATGTGTCGTGGAAGTCGTTTACTACAACTAGAGTCAGAAGCAGTTCTTTTTGAGACAATACAACACTACAGAGTGCGAAGATGTCCAAACACCTCAAGAAGAAGAACCCACCGGTGGCGTCTTCCGACGACGACGACTCGGTCACCCAGGACCTGCCGACCCCGGGTGCCGCGGACCCGGTTAATGTAACCGCGGCTGGTGCGGTCATCGCACCAGAAACGGTCGGGGCGGGGGTGCCGTCATCGTCTCAGCCTGCGGACGATGGCTGGCAGCACGTTGCGGAGCAGCTGGACTCGCTCCGCACCGTGCTTCTCCAGTTGGTGACGCTAGTCAAGTCATTTGCGGGGACGGGACGGCCACAAGACGTGTCGCCGAGGGATAACGAGCAGAGGCCTCTTCAGGGGACCTCGGAGGGTCCCCCTTGGGAATCGACCACCGCCATTACGCACGCGGTGGACGCCACGCGGCAGGAGGCTGCCATCTTGGGCACGGCTGTGGAGACGCGGTCGGAGCCCGCCATTTCTTTGGAGCCGTGTGGCGAGCCATAATACGGCAGAGTGGGGCGCAGCCACCGCCTTCCTCACATCAAGGAATTTGTCGTGGTGGGCGGTGACTGGAGCGCTTTTACGTGGCGGTTTGAGTCGGCATTCCGTTCGGTGCAATGTACGGAAGAGAAGGCCCTGGGAGCGTTACCTACCGTGCTCAATGACCAAGCGCTGGTGGTGTTCCGCTCGATTCAGCCGGACAAAAAGAAGACCTTGAAAGACGTGTATGCCGAGATGGCCGAGGTTTATGAGTTGCCTTCGGATACCCAGCGGAAGTTCACGCATCGCAAGCGTGGGAGTAACAAGTCTCCTCTTGCCTACTGCAGCGCCTTGCTGGCGCTGGCGGTGGCTGCTTATTCTGACGTCAAGCCTAAAACGCTCCATCCTCCATCTTGGGTAAGATGCTGGAGTTTGGTAAAGGACATGGAAGTTTCGCTGCCTGTGTGCGGTCATGAGCCGCTGATGTCGCGGTGGGCCGCCAAATGCCTCAACACGCAAGACAACTTACAGCGTTGGGCCCAGATGGCTGCTTGGACGGGAGACCCGGCTCATGATGGTGAGCCTAAAGGATGGTTGCCATTGAAGGTCGTCCATATTCCGGACGAGGCGGGGGACAGGGATCTAGCAGCCGCCGTTCCTCGTTGGGACCCGCGGCGGGGGGCTGAGTCACGTCGCCGGGGGTCCTACGGTTCGCGTGGGGGTGACGAAGGGGCTGCTCGGCGGCCTGTGGTTACATGCTTCAGGTGTGGGCGCTTAGGCCACGTCGCCCGGGATTGCCGGAATCGTCCTCCGACACCGCCCGCAGCTCCAGCTCCAGCTCCTCCGTTGGTGGATCGCAACTCCGGGCAGGCATAAATCGTCACCTCAGGCATCTCTTGACGTACGTAAAACTTCACCGAATAGCGAATACCAGATTTTACGTGTTTACAATAGTGGTCCAGGTTTCTGCACCATATAAGAGGATTAAAATGATCACAGCATTATACACAGCCACTTTGGTCTTGGTGGTAATGTCGTGGTCTTCAAATACCTTGTTCTTAAGTTTTCCAAAGGCAGAACTAGCTCAGGCAATCCGATGTTGGATTTCATAATCAATTAAGACATTGTTAGAGAGATGGCTCCTGAAGTATAGGAAACTGAGAACGTTTTCCAGTATTGCATTGTTGGTAATGATTGTAGGGGGTGGTAGGTGTCCTCCTGGAGCTTGTTGAAAAATTATCTTTGTTTTGCGGGTATTCAATGTTAGACCCATCCTGCTGTAAGCATCTGTAAATATGTTGATGATGAACTGAAGGTCAGCTTCTGAGCATGCACTGACTTGGGCATCATCAGCATATTGGAATTCAATAACGGATGCGATTGATATTTTTGACTTGGTTCTGAAACGGTTGATGTTGAATATGTTCCCGTCTATCCTATATGTGATACTAGCTTTACTACTCTGCTTCGCCTGTGACTTGGATTCTTGTCTTGGATTAATACATGGCCTACGCGGAGGGTGGGGGGGAGGGAGATGCGTGATGTCATCAGGCACACTGTGTAACGCTGCCGCATGCGGGTGACATCACAGATGTGACGTCACCGCTCACTTGTCGTGAAAAATATATACATTATTGCGCCCCCCCCCCCCCCCAAATACAAAAGTCTATTTTTATACTTTTGCATTGTGTAGAGTCTGGAAGCTACCCACATGCCAATTTCCAGTTGTTGCATATCGTGAAGTATGATAAACATTTATATATATATATAGATTTATGTCTCTGGGAAATCTGTTCTCTGTCAGATGAAGCATTCCCGCCAGGAAGATGGATAAAATAGTTGGTGTAATAACGCAGCCTTGCTTCACACTGTTCCTTACTTCGATTGTCTCTGAGGTTTCACCATCACAGAGGATGACAGCCTTCATACCGTCATGCAACAGATGGAGGACTTTATAACAAATTTTGTTGGGCAGCCATATCTCAGAAGGATTCTCCATAGTGCATCACGATTAACAGAATCAAAAGCTCTAGTTAAATCAAAGAAGGCCATGTACAATGATAGTCTCTGCTCCTGGCACTTCTCTTGGAGTTGACGGGCTGAGAAGATCATGTCTGAGGTTCCCCTGCCAGGTCTAAAACCACTCTGCGATTTAGGAAGGAGTTTTTCAGCAAGTGGTAGAAGTCTGTTTAGTAGGATTTTTTCCAGTATATTTCCAGCAGTGGCAAGAAGAGAGATTCATCTGTAGTTGTCACAGTCTGACTTGTCACGTTTTTTGAAGACGGTGACAATGATGGCATCTTTCAGTTCGTTGGGAACATCTTCATCATTCCAGATCCTGGCTATAAGGGAGTGCAGGTGTTCAAGTAGGCGTTGTCCTCCATGTTTGTAAATCTCAGCAGGAATCTGGTCTAGCCCACTAGCTCTGTTCTCTTTCATCTGCTTGACAGCTTTAGCCACTTCAAGCATCGTTGGTTTTCCAACTAAATCCTCAGTGGTAGAGTGTTGCGGAATCTCACTGAATATAGAAGCGTCTACAACAGCGTTGCAGTTGAAAAAAGTGCTGAAGCGTTCCAGCCAGAGGGAGATGATTGCGTGTTTGTCTTTGAAGATTTCTGTCCCATCCTTAGACTAAAGTGGTGCAAGTCCCTGTTTTGACGGTCCATATAAGACTTTGGTTGCTTTAAAAACATTCATGTGGGTTATTGGAATCTGCAAGATGTTGTATTTCTTCTGCTTTGTTTCTGAACCAGTTGTTGTTCAGTTCCCGGATTTTAGTTTGTACTTCCGATTTGGCCACCTTATATCATTGTTTTTTCTTTAGAGACTGTTTGTGTTGTTGCCGCTTCTTGTCAATGAGGCCTGTGATTTTCTGGTCATTGTCATAAAACCAGTCACAGTTTTCCTTCCTGTGTAGCGCTACCAATGGTGTTTTCACAACTGGTTATAACGGCCGTCTTCAGTTGTGTCCAGTACTCATGAACATTTCCTGAAGCCTGGTTGGTGCTGAGTCTTTGAGCTAATTGTTCGTTCAGTCGGGCCTGTACTGCTGGGTCTTTTAGTTTGGTTACATTTGAGTCTTTTCCTCTGTAGTTTTGGTAAGTTAATGTGTTTGTGGTTTAGTTTAAGAGTCATCACTGATCAAATTAGTCTGTGGTCAGTCCAGCAATCGTCTGCATTGATCATGGCACGAGTGATGCGGACGTCTGTGCTATCAAGCGACCTGACAATCACGTAGTTCAGTAAATGCCATTGGTGTGATTGAGGGTGACACCAGGAGGTCTTAAGGATAGTCTTCTGCCTGAATAGGGTGTTGGTGATTGTCAGGTCATGCTCAGAACAGGTTGTTAGAAGAAGGTGACCATTGGAGTTGGACTTATCAACTCCCTCTTTACCGATGTAAAGGAGTACTGCGGGGACCCAACGAGGAACAATGGCGGGAAGGGGGCCAAGCAAAAAGGGGAGTGCCAGAAGAGCAAAAGAGGGTAAGTAGAAAGAGTGAGATGTCTACTAGTGAGGGAGCCAGGTAGAAGGAGGAGAGCCAGGTAAAAGGTAGGAGCCCAGGCTAAGGGGATAAAAGGGGAACCTGGATGGAAGGGGAGGGGTGAGAGACAAAGGAGAGCCAGGGAGGGAGAGAGAGGAGCCAAGTAGCAGGTAGAAAAGCTCCTGGGCCGGAGAGACAAAGGAGGCTACGGGTGGAAGAATATGAGGTCGCCTGGATGAAGGTCGAGGGAGTCGGAAGAGAGGGCTAAGGGACAGGGAGTAGTGAGTACCCGCGGATGTTGGCATGAATAAACGGCAAGCAGCCCCGAATATTCAACTCTGGTCTCCGTCTGAGTCTACAATCCACAGGGCATCACGAA